TAAACTAAAGGCTAATGTTAATTAAGGGTATCTATGTCTCAACTGTAAAAAAATCTGGACAATTCTTACGTTGTTTTAGTTATTTGGACCATATATCAAGTTATACAGAAAAATCAGATTAAAAAGAGACATTAAGATTAAAAACAGTCAAAAGGGAGAATAAAAACACCATATATCTTTAAGCGTGGTTGATTCTAATAGGTTTTGATACAAGATAGTGCCGATAGATTGGTTGTTGCAACTCTCCTAATGGTCTCAGGTTGCTGCGAATGGCAAGAAATGTCCCTTAAATTCAAGGGAAATCACAAAAGGGAAGAGATGTGTGGGTTAGAGACTCAATTTCTTGAAGTTCAAATGAAGTTCTGCGATGGGAACATTGTATTTTTCTTTGTAGTCTTGCCAAGGGTAGAGCATTAATGTAAGCTTGAAAGAAAGCTCTGTGATAGTTTAAATTCATAATCATATGGGTACTTTGACAGAATGAATAGATTTTATGAATTTCCAATCCATCAAGTCTTGCAGAAGTTGCTTGATTTCTTTTTTTTGGGGGGGGGGAAGGTCTGAATCTAGATTGCTAGCAAAAATTAGCTTGAAAAGTTACAGTAACATGTATCTTTATGAGGTTGCATCTTCCAGGTTGCAAAATCAATTAGCTAAAGGGTTCCCCAATAAAACTCAGTTTAAGTCAATATTTATGTTGATAAATGCAAACACTTGTCATAAGAAGAATTAATCCAGATTCAAATCCCTCTATTCAGGCTATTTCTACATGAATCTGGACAAGTCTATTTTCTGGAGTCTAACCTCAAAAGAAGCTTAGAGAGGGAAGGGTAGGAAGTTTTGTGCTTCCTGTACATCTCCTAAGCTTTAGTGATTTTTTAAAAAAATCTGAAATATGCTGCATTGGTAAAAACTGAACTATATAAACAATAACCTCTTGATCGGTCATGATGCAATTACACTTCATGCATAAATGTATATTTCTGCATTTATGACTACTTTATAAACCATCAACAAGCTAAAAGGAAAGAAAACTTTGAAAGAGAAATTTGGTCTTACCAGTTCCTTCTTTATAAACATATTTTTAATTTAATTTAATTTAAAAGATTACTTAACACTTGCATTTTGACTAACCTTCTTCCTATGCAAAAATAAAATTAAACCAAAATCGGAAAGTTGTTTTTTTTAAAGGTGACAGTGGTTTTTGAAATAGTTTAATGGACAGGAAATGCTCAATTTCACATATACAGTGAAAAGGTAGGGTTGACCTTTAAATTGCAGCTGCCTCTGCCTCTTTTTATTCGACACCATTTAATTTACTGGAAACTGAAGGCTTACCATCTAATTCCAACTATACTGTAAATCCTTGCTTGTTACTCTCTTTACTAGCCAAGATCATATCCAAACAATCCTCCAAACAAACCTGGTTTATTTTTCAAAGCAAAATCAACAGTGAGATCTTTTGAAAGATTTTGCATTAAATATGATCTACATACATTTATGATGGTAGATTTTGCAGAACATTGTTGGGCAGTGGGAGTTAAAAACCTTTAATCCAAATATCTTCTTAAGGAAAACAAAGCACAAATATGTCACTGAGGAGTCAAAAAGTCAAAATCCAAAAACAGTTTTCCAAGGAAATTAAAACTGTTATATCAGTAAATATGATGTTTCTTGTTAATGCATTCTGGAATTATATCTAGTTAAAATATGATTTCATTTCAGATTTAATATCTAATATACTGAGATGAACATTCACAGCTGTGAGAAAAAACTTTGCTGAATATTGAAGAAAGATACGGCAGACATTTTATCTGGGAACTTAAACTAGGAGATATGAAGCAATGGCATAATTAAACCACATACCGTATTTTCCGGCGTATAAGACGACTGGGCGTATAAGACGACCCCCAACTTTTCCAGTTAAAATATAGAGTTTGGGCTATACTCACCGTATAAGACTACCCCTCTTCCAAATAAAAATTAAAAAACATCAGATTTGATTTCAATATGGTAATTTTAATTCAAATGCTTATGACATGCAGGTACTTAGCAGAAAAACTGTCATTTATAAACATAAGGCTGTCATCAAACATATAAACATAAAACAGTGCAAGTGGATTAAACTTTTCCTAATTCACTCTAAAGCTGAAAGGAAGGATAAGACAATAAAACCATGGGAGCTGCCATGCTGTTTGTTTTCTAAGCTGTCAACCAAACTGAACTGATGATGATAGGAGCACACACACACATGCCTCCTTTCCCTCTTCCCTCCAATCCTTCCCAGCTCAGAAAGCAGTGAGGAGAAGCGTGCGTGCACACACACACACACACTCGCCTCCTTTCCCTCTTCCCTCTCCCTCCAATCCTTCCCCCCCACCCTGATTTCCAGCTCAGAAAGTGCAAAGCAGCGAGGAGAAGTGTGTGTGTGTGTGTGTGCGCGTGCACACCAGACTGCCAGAGACACTTAGGGGCAGGGAGCACAATGAGAGACAGCAAGGGAAAGAGGAACTTGCCTTACTCTGTTTCCTGGAATGCCATGGAGAGAATGGCACGTCAAGCGGGGGGGGGGGTGACGCCTCTGCTAATTGCTTTTATTCACCACAGGCTGGATGCTGGTTTGCCGGGTGGGGGGGTGGGAACAGCAAGTGGGAGCCTATGTAAAGCACTGGGAGCAACTCACTCCCAGTGCTAACTTTGTTGCTGTATGGATTAAAGGCCATTCGCTTGTCATTCGTTCCTGTTTGTCGGCTCTTTTCTGGGCACCGAAGAGGACGCGCTGACAGATATTTCAGTAGTTGCTTGTTGTAATTTTTAACTTATTTAAACCTTGCTGATTTCTGTACAAAATGATTCACCTGCTGAAGCATGCATATCTGCATTGGCTATTCATGGCACATTAATGAAAATTAAGGAGTGAGATAAGGAAAAAGTAATTTTTGTGCAGTACTGTAAAAATGGCTATTGATTTCCAGTAAGCACACACGCACGCACGCACGCCTCCTTTCTCCCTCCAATCCTCCCTTCCCACCCCGATTTCCAACTCGGAAAATGCAAAGCGTGTGTGTGTGTGTGTGTGTGTGTGCGCGCGCGCGCGTGGGCGTGGCCTCCTTTCCCTCTTCCTCCAGTCCTTCCCAGCTCAGAAAGCAGCGAGGAGAAGCGCGCGCACACGCACACGCGCGCACACACACACACACACACACACTCCTTTCCCTCCTCCCTCTCCCTCCAATCCTTCCCTCCCACCCTGATCTCCAGCTCAGAAAGTGCAAAGCAGCGAGGAGACAGATTGAGACCCCCAGGCATTTATCAGCCTGTGACTTCAAGTTAGCAAAAAGCAGCTGCAAACCACACGCCTGCTAGAGGTGAGCCGCGGGGACGGATTGCTGAAACAAACAGCTTAGAGTTTAATTGCTCTTCCCACTGCCACTCTACCAATCAAGGACTCTTTTTGAGTGAGGGGGGGGGAGAGAAAACTTGATGAGTAATATACCAAACCACATGTGTAAAGGAATAAAATAGAATACCCGTATTTTCCGGCGTATAAGACGACTCGGCGTATAAGACGACCCCCAACTTTTAAGAAGGTTTTTGTGTCTTAAAAAGTCGTCTTATACGCCGGAAAATACGGTAGATCCATAACAGAAGTTTAACCAAATTCAAGCAATAATGGATTTCATATGTGCAATACATCATGCAGCAAATACAAATAAGCTTTCTAAGGGAGTCTAAATGTTTATAAATACTAAATATTGGTTGTAGTATAAAGAAGGAGGAACCAACAAAATATAACTTATCTACATTTCCATATAGGCATAAAATATAGATTTTCACTCTATATTTTCACAGACACACATGCACAGAGTGAAGACCTTAGTAGAACCCATATTAACACTGACATAAATGTTTTTCTCATTATCTTTAAAGGTTTAACTTATCTAAATTCATCATAGTTTAAACATTTAAACATACAAATAGTTTAAATTGCATAAATACCATTGTTCCCAACTAATATTTGTATTATGTAATGTATTATCAGCATCTTATAACAATTACTTGTGGGGAAAAAACCTCTGTTAATTTAGTTGTTAAAAATTTAGAAGGCCAAGGTTTGCTAATATGCTGAGAAAAGGACTCTGTCTCTTAGTTCCTGCACAACTCTTTGTGGTTCTACCCTATTATATCATAGTTATATCATAACAGACTCACTGATCTCATAGGCATATGAAATACAATGAAATACCTGGCTATGTGCCACCACATTCTTTTTGATGTATGTGTGTGCCTATTATTCTCTTATAATCCCTTCATCTCCAATCTGTAAGAGGAAAAATGTGTACTGACTAATGGCAATCATATGATTGAAGGAGACTGCAAAGGTCATGAATGTGGGCATTGGTGTTATAGTTATTTTTTTGCAACATCATAACTTGTAATGGTCTCTGAATGAGGCAGTTGCTAAGCAAGGAGCATCTATATTTTAATTTACATTAATCCACAAAGAAATACTATAACCTCTCCTCTTGTTAAGCCTGTTTTGGCCTCTAGTACTATCAATAAATTATTGTATAACTCAACAAAATGTGTCTTGCTTCATACATATCACTAAAAGTTCTATGATTACAAGATTATTTACTCTTGTCTATTTTCTTTCCTTCTTATTGCATTAAAGCCTTAAGCTTGCCTTACTCTTCAGTAAGTATTATAATTGCATGGTATGTACATGATTTAAAATGTATCCAATCCTTTAGTATAACTCCATTTAGCAACAGAGCTGTAGAGCTAAAAAAATTATAATAACAGCATGTTGACTTTGTCTTGTACTCTTTTGCTAGAACCCATGTAATCATTCTGTTCAATATTGTATGTAAAAAAAAATGGAATAAATCCAGTTGACAATGAGCACCTTGAACTCCTATTTAAACCATAAGCTAATTTAACATACTATATCCTGTTTCATATAATGATTGTTTTATTAATAGTTTCTTTTCTCATCTCAGCATTCTAACCAAACTAAATCAGGAAATAAATCGACATGAAGAAAAAAGAAGCATCTTTCCTAAAAGGTAGGAAGAGTTTAGTATATTTCTATTGTGAACAATAGTAAATGAAAACTTTCCAGTTACTTGCTGCCATTAGAGGGCAGAAGAGGATGCATATCCAACTGTTAGGATGAATGGAACCGCTTTCAGCTGTTTCGCTTGATATAGTATTAATTGCCAAACCACATCCAAGGAAGGAATAGCAAAAGCAAACTTACTTAAGCCCAAATCATCCAGCATGGATCAAGAGATCAAAATTTAAAACTGCATATGAGTGGCATTGCAACAGAACACATGTTATTAAACACCAGCAGAAATGATTGTGATAATGAGTGTATGACTTGGCACTTACATTCTCTTGAATAGATGCTGGATTTATTCACCCAGTTCAGCTGTACCACTATTATTTATAGGAAGAAATTACCAGTACTTTCATTCTTGGTTAGCACCCTGAATTAGTTAATCTGAAAGTCCCTCTGAAAGACTTTAATATTTTCAGATTCACCAGCAGATTCTAAAACAGAAACTTGATTCCTTCTTCAACCACATTGGGGAGAACCTTCCTTTCCAATCTATTTGTCAGTTCTGCCATCTTCGGCCTGGTGCCCTGCTGGTATCCTGCCATCAAAAGCTGGGGCAGAAGAGGGCGAAGGGGACAAGTGGACAATAAACCTGTATGGGGAAATGGTGAGATGTAGGGAGAGGGGTTTGACATAATGAAGAAGACCAAGATGCCCGGAATCAGCTTGTGCCAGTCTTCAAGGCCACAATGCCTGAGCGGCCTGGGAATGGAATGTGGATTGCTTCAAAAATCCAAGCAATTCTCACAACACCTATGCAGCTCTCCATTGGCTGAAGATGAACTGGTCAAGCAGGAAGGGCTGGTTGAAGGCGGGGAAAAAATGTAACCTTTTGCCCTGGAACCTTAATTCTAGCCTGAATTTACTGCAGCCAACAACATTTAGCAAAAGAACCTATCACTTCAACTAAATAGAGTTGAGGGTCTTTCTTTCCTAAGGGATCTAACCCGGGCAGATCTGACATTAATATTACGTAGCTGCAGTTGAGAAGGCTCACTTATGAACTATTTTCATCCGTGAATTTATTTTACAACAAAGACTCGGATTCTTTTTCCTGCTGAGGCAGGAAGTAGGCACTGAAAGTCAGTGACATATGCTTCTTTGCAAAATGTAATGCAATACTCAGAATGCTTCTGAGGGTTTTTTTTTTTTTTTTGCCTCTGCAAACAGCACCCCGCCAGTGGAATGAAGTGTTGGGGAGTTTCACAATCTAGTGTGGTCATGTCATATATTTTATTGCTAATTAGTAGATCTTCTTTCAAGGGCAAAGGACTTAAGGCAGAAATAATACAGCCCTCCATTTGCAGCAACTCCATCCTGACTCTAGCATTGAGCACATTTCTTGAAATAAGTATCATTAATTTCAGTGCCTCAGGGTTTTAGTCTCATTACCTTCACAGCTGACTCCAATGGTTTGCACTAAGAAGAGAGCAAGAAAACTCTTTAAAGAAACCTCAGCTTGTGAGTGTTTTTTTTTTTAAAGCATCTGAATATTTAGTCTGGAAGAGACAGAAACTGCACAGATATCTGAACAATATATCTGCACATAGCACAACTTGACCGGAAGGGAGGAGGTGTATCCACAAAGGAATGCACTATCTAGGAGTGTTTAGAATGGGTTGTGCTGGCAAAAGTTTTTGATGCAAGAAAAGAGAGATTGGAATTGCCCTTTGGCCAGAGCTGGATTGGAGACTGTATCACATATGTGTCCACAGTGTCCATAGATGCTCAGTTTGTTAGGCAAATATGTTACAAGGATCTCACCAGACTGAGTGCATTCCCTTGGGAATGGTCAGACAAGGCTTCAGGAATTCTGGTGGAGGTCAAGCCTGTGCTGCTGTTTGCAGTGCAAGGATTCCAAGCTCTGCCCACTCTTAGTGTCTCCCTCCAGTTTAGCTGGAGATCTCACCACATAATCCAAGTTTCTTATCATTGTCATCATCTAAAACACTAATTTGCTTATTTCCTCTTCTAATTTACAGAACACAGATACAGAAATCTCCTGAAAATACAGGTAAAAATATTTGTTATGCCTATTCACTGTATACCAATATTCAGAATTCATTCTGGTAACCAGGTTTTTTTTTAAAAAAAATATTCCTACTGTGGCTTTAGGCTATGTTGGTTATACTTCAGTGTTACAGAAATCAATGTGAAATGTTAAACATGATATTTAATTTAAATGATTTCCAAGAGAAATAAATGAAATCAATTTACCTTGGAGTCAACAGTTTGATACATAATAATGAAAGTTGAAATTGGAAACATGAAATAAAATTTAGCATAAGTATAGAAACATTTTTCCTATTTGTACTTCTGATGCCATACTAAAAAAAAAATTGGATTACCATTTTGCAGCTGTAAACCCATTTGTATTTTGTGTTTCCACCAAAACCATATAAATTGCACTGATAAATAAAGCTGGACTGTTTACAAAACTTACATTTTGCTCATGGGTCAGACTTATCTGTCTCTTCTATTCATTTTTATTGGCAAGCCCAGGATTGAAGGCTTTCATTCACAAAAGATGAAAACAGCATTGCATCATTGCAATGCAAACTCCACCCCTTTCCTATTTGGATGTGATGCCACAGTACACATTCAGAAAGGGTGGAAGTCACAACATGGTGCTGTATTTGCTATTTGATCTTTTGAAACTATGGTTACCCAGAAACAAAATAAACTTATCTAAGAGGTTTAGTATTGTATTTTGTTTCGATACTGATTAATCATAGGCTCTGTTTTCACTTCAGTGTCAACTTTCTCCCTTAACCACATGATTTTGCTCTAAAATCCCTCCCTCTAACCCAATGAGACAACTGTAAGTCATGTTTAACTATATCAGTAAGAACATAAAATTAGAATATAATTCAACAATAGAATCAAGGTGTGTAAAATCTGTTATGCTTTGCAACTTATTTCTTAGAGGCAAAATTAGATGTACAATAGAGAGTCTGATAAGAAGTGGTGAATTGTGAATTGTGGAGAGATATTACATATTCCCTTTCTCCTGGTTATTAAGTTACCTCAACTATAGTAATCTCTCGCCCAATGTTGACCCTTTTCATTAGCATTTTTGTTCAACAAGTTCCTTTGAACTTTGTCTATTTATGGTGACAACTACTTTCCAGGTTTCCAGCTAGAGATATGAGAGTAGAACAGACATCCACTGTTTTATTTAAAGAGTCAGAGGGATTACTTTAGCTTTCCTCTGCTTTAATAATATTTTGAAATGTATTTAACTGAAGAGGCAATAGCTCTGTTTTTCCTCATTGAGTGTCCAGAAAATTACGAAGGACAATAAGCTGGATTTTCATTTATCGTTACCCCTATATCAGTCCATTTCAATTGCTTCCCCCCAGTCCTGGGAGAGTAATGGAAATAGTTGCCTAACAGCTGCTCAATTTCAGTTCTCTTTATAAGTTACATAGTCAGCAGGATCTCTCTTCTTCCTATCTTAGTCTTCCTGGGGTCTTCCTGTGTGTTTCACATATTTTAATCATTTAGATGGTCAAACATCTCACGATGTAGAAGGAGGAACTTCCTAGAAAAGCCGAGCAGAATCCTAATGAGAGACTAATCATATTCCTGCCTCAGTAATTATCATGATTATCTTCATGACTGACTGGCTGGTACCATTCTGAAAGGGAAGAGTAGTAAAACAGAAGAGAAAAAAAAACCATGCCTGTACTAAATGGGCATTCATAAGTCAGGACAACACTATTTGGGGTCAATGCAGAGCAGACATAACAGAGGCAGGGCAGGGATTGTCATTGGAAATTTGGGAGGGAGAGGGTGTAAAAAATAGGAAATGTTATGCTTGCATTTTTCCTGCCAATCTAAAGACTCTCTGAGGATTAAATGCAACATTCTAAGAAGATGGGAGACAAGAACATCAGGAGATCAAAATATAGGTTACAAACAGGGCAAGACATTTTCTTGCCTGAGGTGGAAGACAAAATAGCACTCTCTCTGTCCCATGTACAGACAATGAACAAATTGGCAGTTCAATCTTTCTACAACATTGTTTCTGTCTCTCACACCCAACAAGAACAGACTAATGATTGGTTGCAGGCAATATAGTTTGATACACACAACTGTGTTTTTCACCTCATTATCATGCAATTGAGTTGGAGGTGGTATGGTCTGTTTTTTTTTTAAAGTATAAGATAGGGAGTTTCTCTGAAGCCATGTTCTTAATTTATATGTTCTCCCAAGAGGTGTAGTAAGAGAGCCATGATCATAATTAAGTAGGAAACACATAAAAATAATACTCATTCCTGAACTGATAAATCATAGCTAATTGTGCTAATATAGTTAAGTTAAAACAGGAACTACTGCCTGTTTCAAAGGTTTTTACCACCCTACTAAATCACATTATTTATTTATATACTTCCTACTGTAAGAATTGTGAAACTGTTTTTTTCACCATTTTCTATATTTCTGCTTCAGTTAAGGATGATTCATGTATACATTTTCATCACTCAATATTCACAATACAGTATAAGCAGAGACGTAAAACATTTTTTGTATTATCTACGATGATTGAGCTGATGTAACAGGACAACCTTAACACTGCCTTAACAACGACAAGGTGAAACCAAATGATGCTGTAAACCATTGATGGGAAAATGGCCATAACCTGATATGTGAAATGTCAAAATAGGGCTCTTGACATTTCATGTTCTATCATTTTCGGTGGAATACATTCAAATATTCAACTGACACAGCCGAATAACATTGTTGAGGGTTTATCATGATCTCTCAGATAATATATACATTACTTTATTAGCTCTGGTTCCTCTACCATGCTCTGCTAACTATGCATTAACAGTTAATTGGGTAACCATCTCAAACTTGGTTATTTATATTCTTCTGTGTATTAATAAATATATTATTTTTACTGTTTTTCCACAGAATATAAACAAGAGGAGGAGGATGGCTGGTCCTCCTTTGTAAGTATACTTTGGGATTTGAGACAAGAGTTGCATATGTTTTAAAGAATACCCAGGCAAAGAAATAAAGTTGGTTAAGTGAAAAATGTATATTAATTTAATTTAATTTACAAATTAATATAGTATGATTGCTCCCCATAAATAGAAAAAATTATGCATTTCTGTAGCTATGAAAATGATGACTGTTATTCAGTGGTGAATTTTGAAGAAGCTCTAGAAAGACATAGATGGTGCGGTTAAATCTTCGTTTTAAATACCACAATAGATGTGTTTGAAAGAAATGTAATTGTAGCCAATATGACAAGACTGCTACTGCACTCTACTTTTTTACTTGGCCTACAGTTTGGGGTTGAAGCTGCTACTAAAATGTGACATAGTAATATTGTATATTGTAATATTGTTTTTAATCTTTGTAAGCCATTCAGAGTTGTGCATGAATGAACAGCCATAGAATTATCCATGAATGACCAGTCATATAAATAAAAATTATAAATCAGTTTTTTCAAGAACATTATTTTGTTTAAAAAAACCCAAAATATCAGAAATAATTCAACTTTCTAATGAAACCTATTATGCAGGTTCGAGAACAGATAAACATGTTTGAAGAAAGTGAATTTAGTGTATCACACTTTAAGTTACCAAGTTTCTATTGTCACAAGTTCTCTAAGCAACTTATTTCCCTGACAAGGCTAAATGAAGCTGCCTTTCAAATCAGTCATTGAGGAGACAGCAGTATCTAAATATCACATTTTTAAAAAAAAAAATGTAGTGCGACAGCAGTTGGCATAATTCTTGGAAATTAAGGACTACATAGTTAGATTTTCTATCACCTTGTCAGAGTAATCACCATAAATAGACGTCTTAGCTCCTGAAGCATGTATACGTTTGTGTATTAAATATTACTCTTGGTTGTGGTTTGTGATAGAATTCATTCTGTAACTTGAAAGGTAATCTTAAGATGATAGATTGTTTTGGCAAAAGGACACATCTGTTTTGACAGGATGAAAGTGATGGTTATGAAAGCCCAGATGACTATCAGACAGGAGATGCTGTTGATTATGAAACACCCAATGATCAAGACGGGGTTGACGATGAAAATGAGGCAGAGTATGAACCCCCTCCATCAAATGATGAGGAGATCCTCCGCAATACTATATTTCCTCCAAAACCGATTCCGACCATTTCAGATTACATAGGTAACTATTTAAAATCTGATTTCAAGCAGCTCATTCTTCAAATAATTGCAAGAGTAGATGTGGTATTTTGCAGAAGAGATGTGGAGAACTTTTTCCATTGAATAATAATAATAGCAACAATTTTCTGATTCCTTAAAATAATTCCTTCTAATTTATTTTTTTAAATTCATTTTTTAAAAATGTTTGCACGCTTTGTTAAGCTGCATTATGGAATTCATTGGTGGATTTCTGAAAATCCAACCTAAATATAAATATAAAAGTAAAATAAAATGTCTTTAGATATAAAATTATGCATCCTGACCACTACTTATCTAGATTACTATAATACATTCTACTTGGGGCCAGCTCATAAAGGATATTCAGAAGTTGCAGATGGTCCAAGACACACCAGCCTGTATGCTCTATGGCTCGTAATATTGGCAGTACATATCACCAGTTTTGAGAGCTTTGCATTGGTTGCCTTTTGGATCCAACTTAAGGTCTTGGTTTTGAAATCTAAAGCCCTTCATGGCTCAGAAATCTATAGAATTGCTGTCTCCAACCAGTTTGGCCTGTTAGATTTAAACAGGAAAAAACACTATTTTAGACACCCTTCCCCTGATTGATTTTGATATTGCTGTCACTTGATTCTATTTTTTAATACTGTGGCATTGTACTGTTTTATTTTTATGTTGTTTGAATTGTGGCATGTTTTCATTTTTATGTTGGATTTTTTTTATATTTCCCTTCCCGCATGGAAGTCACTAAGAACCATGTTTATTGTGGCAATATAGAAATATGTTAAAAAATACATAGCTCACAGAACAAAAAGGGCTGAATATATTCTGTAAATGTCCTTGCCTTTGTTAGACAGACCTGCAACAGAGAGAGGTAAACCATCTCTCCAGCCTCCTGTTCCCCCCCAGAGGCCTATCCCCAGCCCCATACCAGGAGCATCTCGAAACAGAATCCGTGAGGTATGTTTTTTTGAAGTCCAAATAGCTTATTTTGATATTTATTTGAAGGATGAAAGCTACCTACTTCAGTGTCATGAGGACATGCTGTATAGCAATGTATGCATGTCTGTATATTCTTCCTCACATTACTTAATCAAACTGTCTTGAACTGTTGGCTTTGAGTATACTTTAGGTATAATCTGCATCTCAGGGTTGAAGAGGCATTCTTCACTAAAAGTATTCTAAAGTATAATTAAATGTAGAGACATCCCTCAAATACAGAATATAGCAGCTCCCCTATCCCTACCCAACCTTGGTTAATCTTGAAAAATATTGTAGGGTTAGGCCTGGCTAATATTTGATGAGAAACTAGCAGGCCCATGGTTTAGATGGGGTTGTAAAAAAAAAAGTGTGCAAGAAGGCAAAGAGAAATTTTTTATATGTTATTGTCAAAACCCCTAAATAAGGGGTTGTCTAGAAAGTCAACAGGATTCAATATTTACTTAAAGAACAGCTTTTCTTTATAGCTTAGCCTACTTCAGTATGCACTCATACATAAAAGATAATTGTAGAAAGTAGAAGGGAAAGGTGTATATTACTTGCTCATTCTGATACTTTGTTGGCACTTCTGTGGGGGACCTAAAAGTATTTCAGCAAATTGAAATCAAGTTAAGTACCATATTATTGAATGTACTCCTGTTTATTTGTTTGTTTATATTAATGTTTCTTTTGGCAGACACCTTTCAGTTCTCCTTCAAGCAATAATGACAGTTACAGAGACAAAAGTACAAATCTCTTTAAACGTAAGTGTGCTTACTTTCTTTCATTTAATGGATTTCCCCTGTTTAAAACATAAAATATTTCTCCTGCCTTCCCAATCTTTTTACAATTCTAATTTGAATTTTCTTCAATGATAGCATGTTGAGTTTTTAAATTAACTTTATTTTGTAAAGGGGTTTTGATTCATTTATTTGATTCATTTATTTGATTTATGAGGAAAAAAGGGGATATTATTAGTACCCCAAATAGTGCTACTCCATCCAGACGGTTAAAGCTATTCTTTAAGTTTAACCAATTTTTGAATGGAAGTTGTTACTAGAATTCTAAAAATAAGTAAGATGACTTTGAGTTGTGGAAATAACACATAAAAATACTAACACACTATCTGATCCACTTCAGCACCAGTCGATCGAAGCAAAAAACCACCAATGGACCGACCTGGGCCAACCTTTGAGAGAGAAACCCTTGGAGCTGGTGAGCATGTATTTATAACCATCACTTTTTCATTCTAGCCTTTGTTCAGGGTCAGATTTGTTAATTGCCTGAAAAAGAGAGGGCACTAGACAAATATATGGTGCAGGTTATTAGAAAATAGATAGTGATGAGATGAAATGTATAGCTTCAGAAGAACACAATGGACAAGCAATAGCAGGAGATTTTTTTTTTCAACCGAGCTATAATTTTGATGAGTCTACAGGAAGATTGTTAGAAATATCAGAGGTTTTTGTGGCGCATGTTTCAAACCACAGAAAAATTGGATAAAGGTCAGAAAACAAATTTAGAGTGGGCGTATAAAGCTGAAGATAAAAAGTGTTATGTCTTTGCAAGAACATTTTAAATGGGACACCATAATTTGGTTTTCAAAAAGGAAGAGAGAGCTCCCTTAAGGAGTTTAGTTGATTAATCCATCAAATAAAGGAACAAGAAACACACCATGCTTAAGGCACCTTTAATGGACTTTAACAGTAAAGCAGTTTCTCAAAGGGAACTATAATTTCTTTGGCATTCCAGAAAGAGAACATTTCTAACTTCAGTCTCAACATTCTTTACATTTAGAAGTGCAAATTTGAAAGTATGACTTTGAAATGTTATTGATGCCTTTATGAAGAATATTGTACCATATATACCTACAAAGAAGGAAACCAATTGTGTCAAGATAATGTACTTGTCTCAAAGCGGCCAAATTTCAGTTTTGTTTACTTCTACATTGTCATCGGTATAATTATGATGTAAAGCATTTCTACAGAGTCATTGTGCAGGATGACAGCCCCATTCACACAAAATCAAATGTGAACAGGGCTGTAAAGGGTTGCAGAAACAGCACACTACACTGATAGTTCCATTCTCAACCCTGAGTCCCTGAGTTATGCTGATTCCAAGTCCTCAAGCACACAACCCAAGGGACTCCACTATCCAATTGTTGCTTATAACAAGAAATTCCTTTAAGAGAATCTCTTTTTAAGGCCTAGTTAGGGATGCAACATGCAAGCTGTCCACAGAGCAAGATGGGAGTGCTCTACAGGCAAATAAAACACGAATATTTTAACACATTCTATAAGAAGAAAAGGCATTATTAGATTTTTGTTTTCTTCACAATGACATGGTAGTATCCTTCAACTTTCTTTTAAAGTTAATATAAGTTTACAGCACTGTCTAGTTTTCTAAATCCAGTGATGAGCAACTAACTGTTCTTTCCTCGTTTTCTTAATTAAGGCAAACGAGCTTTTCCTGACATGGTAAGAGATGGATTTATTCTAGTAAACTCTCGCAATATTTTAGCTTGTTTTTTTTCCAGGTTTTTTTTAATGTACCCTTGCTTTTTCTTCCTTCTTTCCAGGCTCTGACACCAAAGCTCAGGTAACCATTTAATTTTCTATAAAATAAACCATCAGACTTAGCCAAAGAAACACAATATGAAGAAATTCTCTTTCAAATCCTCTCTCTTTCTCTCTTAGATCTCTGGCAGAAGACTTGGCAAAGATACAGAAGCCTCCTCTGCCACCAACTGAGAGATTTGAAAAAAACAGTCCATCCTCTAGAAGAATGCCACCATCCACAAAGTAACTATATTTTACAAATATAAAAAATTTAGTATTAGCCTAGACAAGTGTTGTGCACCGATGAACTACATCTCTGGAAAGAATTCTTGTTCTTAGCAAAGTATTTTCTAATGTTCTTTTGAACATGCTCTGAGTACCGTGTTTTCATTTTCGAGCTGTAACATAAATGTAGCAGAATGTCACGTGACTGAAATGCAAATAGGTATTTTCAGTAGCCCACTTGAAATGTAGTATCCATTCTAAAGACGGGGATATAAATGATCCGCATAGAAATTCGTTCCTGAGCTGTTTCCCTCAACTATTATCACTGCCTCCTAATACTAGTAGTCCTGTGTCAATTGACACAGCAGCTTTGTCATTAAACAAAGCGGTTGCTAAAGGAAACCATAACTATGCTTATGATCTTTATGCCAAAGGTGTTTTTTTCAGGAGGCAATTGGACTTTCTTGTTTTTTCTTTGAAGATGTTTCGCTTCTCATCCAAGAAGCTTCTTCAGCTCTGACTGGATGATGGGGACTGGAGGACTGACCAGCTGTCTGTAAGAAATATAAATCCTTCCATTCCCCACCATCCAGTCAGAGCTAAAGAAGCTTCTTGGATGAGAAGCGAAAAGTCTTCAAAGAAAAAATAAGAAAGCCCACTTGCCTTCTGAAAAAGCACCTTTGGGACAACCATAACCTGGATGATCCAGAATCTCCATAGACTTATGATCTACTGAAGTCAATGCAAGGACTGGTCTCAAAATTACTTTTTCATTACCATAGTAACTGTGAATGGTCACTGTATGAGGCAGTGGCTAAACAAGCACTACCTGTTTTGGCTTCTAAGTTCCTTATTTTTCTTTTAGGTTATAAGCACTATTACAATTAAAACAACTTCAGGAAAGTAATGTATTATTTATTATTAATGTTAAATTTATATGCCACTCATCACATAGTTTGAAGCAAGTTTAGAGAGGAGCAGACAGGACAAAAGTTCAATGGCTAGTCTTTGCAATCAGTGCTGCCCTTTAAGTCTCCTTGCGTGTTTAGATTTCTCTGCAATTCACCTGTCAAGAGGAGGAATGTACAGGTAGTCCTGGACTTATGACCAGAATGGAGCTTCAAATTTCTGTTGCTAAGTGAGACATTTGTTAAGTGAGTTTTGACCCATCTTACAACTTTTCTTGATGCAGTTGTTAAGTGAATCACTGCAGTTATTAAATTAGTCATACGGTTGTTAGGTGAATCTGGCTTTCCCATTGACTTTGCTTGTCAAAAGGTCATAAAAGGTGATCACAGGACCCCAGGACACTGCAACCGTCATAAAGATGAGTCAGTTGCCAAGCGTCTGAATTTTGATCACATGACCATAGGGGTGTTGTAACAGCCGTGTGAAAAGTGGTCATAAGTCACTTTTTTCAGTGCAGTTGTAACTTCAAATGGTCACTAAACAAACTGTTGTAAGTTAAGGACTATCTATATAGGGATTCCTCTGGTATATATTTAAAAATTAATTTACAGTGTTGGACCAGCTACTTGTATATACACTAATGTATAGGCAAAAGTTGAGTATGCATAACATATTAAAGCATGGTTTGTTTACCATGTTCTATTTAATTAACAATCACTAAGTTATAGAGCATAGTTTGCAAAACACAATGTCCACTTCATACTGCATATTAAACCTTAATTGCTGTGGTTGATTTTGGTTTAATATGTTGCATGAATAGAGGTACTAAGCAAAGATTTTATACTTCCATTTTCCTGTTTAGCTGGAATCAAGCCATTTTGATTACTGATCATGCAATTCAATTACTTGAGCTTTTATTAAATAATACTTGCAGAAAGTATTATTAATTTTACTTGTTTTCTAGGAGCAATCAGATGCTTGAAAGACAGACAGAAGTAAGTATATCTAGATATAATCTCTCTCTTTAATGATGTTATTTGTAGCATGTTTTCAATTTAACTTCTTAACACTTTTTTTTACTTTTTCTAATTTGAGTCTCACTAATCCTTGAATTAGTTTATAGGATCCCTTTGCTGTCTTAATATACCATGTTCAAATATGCTTAACTTAAGGGATAAATTAGTAGCAGTACATTAAAAAAATCTGGTTGGCTTTTTTTTACAATAAGTTTAATACATGCTTCCTATCCGAATAGTGGAGGATTTAAAAGCAGAATCTCCCCAAATTATGCTGCCAATTGGCAGAGTAGAGAGTAGAAGAAAGTAGCCGTCTCAGAAGATGACAGAAATGTTTTGGCTGAGCTGGTAAAAATTAGGCTCCTTCCACATGCAAGTGGAAATCTAGCTTGACTGAGATCCACACCAACAATGGGGGAAATGCCTATAAAGTGGAAAAATACTGTGGCTCAGACACTGTTGCATCCTTAGCAGGTTTCCCATCTTGCAGCTATTGACCAATTTAGCCATATCCTATTTGTACAATGGCACATGATCTGTCGAAACTGTCTGGTCTTCTGTCTGGTATTTTGTCTAGTATTCATCCAAATGCTGAGATAAGGACATATAGAATATAGCCATATAAGGAACTCTATGTGGTCAGGAAATGTATACGTATTAAAAGGGTATAAATATGCCCTATGAAACCCCTTTCGGGGTTCAGACCCTCTTATTTCTACAACACCTATGTAATTGCAAGCTAAGGCAATTACTGAGTAGATCAGGAAACCAACTCCCCAGGAAGACTAGAGTGATCCTTTCCTGACTAAAATAAGAGTATATTGCAAGTCTGATTGTGCTTCTCCTTCTCTCCCTCATCATCCTCAGTCAAAGAGGAATTCTCCTGCGACTCCTCTTAATACAGGTAGTCCTCGACATACGACCACAACTGAGCCCAAAAATTTCTGTTGTTAAGTGAGACATTTGTGAAGAGAATTTTGCCTCATTTCACATTTCTTGCCAAAGTTGTTAGTGAATCACTGTAGCTGATAAGTTAGTAACCTGGTTGTTAAGTGAATCTGGCTTTGCTGGTCAGCAGGTTGCAAAAGGTAATCAGGTGACCCCCCCCCTTCCGCAGGATGGTGCAATGATCATAAGTATGAATTAGTTGCCAAGCATCTGAATGTTGATCACATAATCATGGGGAGGCGGCAAAGGTTGTAACTGTGAAAACGGTCATAAGTCACTTTTTCCCCAGTGCTGTTGTAACTTTGAATGGTCACTAAATAAACTGTTATAAGTTGAGGACTACTTATCCCAGGATTTAAGGAACACTTCCATCCTTTAGTTCACAGCTTCTGAATACTGTATTTGTATCAGGCCCCTCTCCTTGGCTCCCTACAAAGGAAAATCCTACAAAGTTTTGTGGTGTTTCTTTGACAGATGGGTTCCAATTGGCAGGGATTCCCATCTTCCTGCTACTCAGGATTGCCTCTCTACACTGCAGTCAAGGCTCCATTAGCACCTTGGTGATTTTCTTTCAACTTCCTGAGTCTTCTGGGGTGACTCTGCTGCTACCATGCATAGGAGACACCTCTATCCTTTCCCCCCGCCCCCACCAGTATAAAGAGATGCAATGAGGGAAGAGTGAGAATGGGAGCAGATGGTTGTCTGGCTGCCATTTTTCATGCTGCCACCTGGGCTAGTTAGAGGGAATGATGGTTAGCTAAATGGCACAATAGAGGCCAGTGAAATGGGCAACAAAGTAGTGTAGAAATGCTTCAGAGCATGTTGGGGAAAAGCTGGTGTCTGTGTGGAAGTACCTTCTCTTATATTGCCACAAAAATAGTTTCCCGGCAAAATAACTTTGGGTCACTGTGTTTGTTCATTCTCCAGTTAACTTTTGAAAACAATGACTTCCCAACCAATTGGATGCCAAAAGGGTTTTAAAAAGAGGAAGACTGATCTTAGATATCCATTCTTTCTTAGTCCCTAAATAAAACTTTTCAAAAATCAACTTTAGCAAAACATAGCTAGACCTAAAACTATGCTTAATTAAATTACTTTATATAGTTTTAATTACAGATGCGATGATTTATTGAACATGTCTAATTTCTGGCAAATTGTAGATTATTATGACAATTACTGAGGGGGGGAGGAAGGGAAGAAGGAAGGAAGGAAGAGGAGGAGGAGGAGAAACATAGATTACTACCTTAAAAGATTTCTTATTTCTTCTAAGATAATTCCTTGTCATTATTATGTCACTTGTATGTATGTATGTATGTATGTATGTATGTATGTATGTATGTATATGCACCTATGTTATATTCTTTTTATTTCTGTAAGTTTTGTACAGATTATGTTGATATTCTGAATAAAATAAATCAATAAAAGCTGGCAACATTAATGTTTATTTATGTTATATTTCTTTCAGATGGAATCTGACAGTACGTAATGTTTTATATTTACTTTACTATCGTCATACCCAGTGAATCTATTTTATGTTAAAAATTAACAGTAAAGAATGAGACCAAACACTTCTCAAGAAAAAAAAAAAGAGAGATCCGGAAAAGGGGTTGAAAAAACTTCCTATGGAAAATAAGCAATTCTCACTGAACCACTCTCATTGATTAGCCATTACATTGCTAATAATAGCACATGCTAAGAATGCTAGCAAACTCAACTCGGTTTGAAATTAATGAGCAAATTTGGAGCCAGTGGTGACTATGCAATATGGACTCAACTTATTAGAAATCTTATTAGTTGTTCATATGGAAGGCATGAATAGGACTTACTGTCCTTGCACAATTATTTTGCTACAGCATATAACATAGCTAATGTGAATGCATAAAAATGTAAAAAGAGTCCTGCTGGATCAGGGCAAACCCAGCTTATTTCAGCGTTTTGTTTTTCACAGTAGTGAACCTAATTCCTTTAAGGCAGGGGTCCCCATCCCCTGGTCTGTGGACCAGTACCTGGCCATGGCATGCCAGCAACCGGTCCGCACAAACAAGGAAAGCCCCATCCACAGGATGCAGGCAGCACACAAAACCATGCCCCCTTCAGTCCGCAGAAAAATCTCTCTTCACAGAACTGGTCCCTGGTGCCCAAAAGGTTGGGGACCCTCTGCTTAAGGGTGCTCAACAGCAGGAGATGGATATATTCCTCACTCTTACCACTGCTCCCCTGAAAATTCTATTTGGAGGCAGGCTGTCCCTAAGTGAGAGTTAATCTTGAATCTTCCAAGACCAATAGCTCCTAATAAGCCTGTCCTCTAACAATTTTTCCAATTTCTTTTTAAGACCATTCAAGAAAGGCGATTTCTATATTTGTGGTTATTCATTCCACAAGTTAACTGTGCATGATGTAAAGAAGTACTTCATTTTGTGTGTTTTAAATTTTCTTCCAATCAGCTCTATTTTATGGGTTTTGGACAAATGTTTTGCGGTAGTGACAAAACCTCCCTATTCACATTCTCCATGCTGTTTGACTTTATATCCCTAACTCGTGTCCTCTCAGTTGCCTATTTTCCAAGCTAAAAAGTCCCACATGTTGTAGCCTTTTCTTGTAGAGGACGTCTTTGAGCTCTCAGATAATTTTGGTTGCCCTTCCTAGTAGCCAAAGATGGCTACCAGACTACCAGGCCCATAAGCAGTATTCTAAGCAAAGATGTACTACAGATTTGATAAGAGCATTACAGTGTTAGCATTTTTATTTTCAATCCCCTTTCCCAGTGACTCTTAGCATGACATTGGCCTTTTTCACAGCATGTGAAATGTTTTTGTCAATTGTTTGTTTTTGCCGTTCTCTGTAGATATTCTCCAAAGGCCAGTTCCACAGCCATCACCTCAGCCCTTCAACACCTTTCCTTCCAGAACCACTAAGTCTAATATAATTCCTTTACCACCCAAAACGAAATCTGATCTACACACAGAAAGGTTGGTTGAATGAACTGTCAACCCGAAGTATACAATTAACTTATGCTGCAATTATTATTTGTCATTTAATTCTATAAATAATATCCTTTTAATAATGATGTAGTATGCTAGTACTCTAGATTAGTATTCATTTTAATAGTTGAAAATGTTTGAAACAAGAAACTTTCATAATAATATATTTAATATTTTTAATCTAAAGATTAAAATTAAAATATTCACTGCAATGGAAATCCACAGGCAAATAGATAAGGCTATAATAATTTATTATATGTTTATAAAATTAACAAGCAAATTAAAATATTTTAGCATCAGTCTGCCAATTATGTCCTTGTTTCTATAAAGAACATAGAGGAAGAAGGGAATAGGAGCAGGAAAGGAAGATACAGCCTCCCTCTATGTTTTTTATGGAAAGATTTGGTGCTTGTTTTAGCCATAGATCTACTGTACTTCTTGTATTAAAAACTTCAGAGCACATTTGACAAGTGTCCAATGGAAGTATAATTTTAATATTTATTCACATTATAAACGTTCACTCTGGAACAATCGCCATTTGAAAGTACCGGTTACACCCTTATTTTGGAAATCAAATCAAGACAATTAACCAGTGGAACGGCTTGTCTTCAGAGATTGTGGGCACTCCATAACAGAGATTTTGAAGAGGAGACTGGACAGTCACTTGTCTGGAATGGTATAGGTTCTCCTGCTTGAGCACGGGGATGGACTAGTAGACCTCCAAGGTCCCATTCTATTCTATTCTATTCTATTCTATTCTATTCTATTCTATTCTATTCTATTCTATTCTATTCTATTCTACTCCAGTAAAATGGTGATACCATCTTTGCTGAAGAAGGTAGCAGTTGTTCATCTTCATTCCCTCCTTAAGAAACCAATGCTGGACCCAATCTTTGGACCAGAAATTGGGCAATTTTGGTCATGTGCTTAACCTGCCCATTTAGGGAAAATCGTTGACTTTTACGAAAAGTCAGGATGCAGCTTCAGAGAGTTCAGGATATATCTGAACCCATTTCAGTTGGATTTCATATTTAGATATAGTTTTGAAGCAGAATTTATTGTATTTCTGGAGGATCTCTACTAAGAACAGGATGACCCTTCCTGAACTTTCAGTGACTTTTGGTACTATTAATCATGATATCTTTCTGGATGGGCTAAGGGGGTGGGGATTGGGGACACAATATTGTGGCGATTCTCCGGCTTCTTCTGAGGTCACTTCAGTCAATATTGGTGGATTGGAAAGGCCTTTATGCTGTGCCTGGCTTTGCACAGTTCCTCAGGAAATTGGATAAATGAATAAGTTTAAAAAAGCTTAATCAACTGATTACCAATCAAGTCTCTAAATTATTTCAGTTATTATAAGAGAAATGTGTATTACCTAAAACTGAAGTGGTAATATATTCCATTAAAACATTGCTTATCTTTCTGACATGCTCCAGATGCATCTAAAGCTCCTAAGGTACTGTCAGCATTAGAATTTGCTTTAGATTATTCTAAAGCTACATTATTTTTATAGAAGTATTGTAAATATTGTTACTGGCAAGAATTCTAGAATAAAGGATTAGAATAAAGGCAATCTCTGGTTTACATATAATGAAGACTGTAAAAAAAGGGAGCAGCAAAAGTTAACTTCTTGATAACACTACTGTTTATATAGCTGGAGATTAAGAAACTATCTGTATTCATTTGTGTATCCCAATCAGTCTTTGTTTTCATTATAGCATTTCCTCAAGTGCATCATTACCACCCCGTCTTCTGCCAAGTATGTATTTTAGAAATACTTTATTTCATGAGCTTATATTTCTACTGATATTGAAATCTAGTATCTCATTAAATCTTATCAGTTGGAGAACCATAATGTATTTGTGTTAAAGCATCAATGATCTGTGTGTCACCACAAAAGAATAAGACAAATAAATTAAAGACAAGAAATAAAAAGAGAAATGTAAAACTTACTCAACATTGTTCACTATTCTTTTTTGTAGTTTCCCATACTTGCAAATCAGGCACAACTTCATATATTGTCTTTTGTTCTAGATTTGAACTAGTGATATAACTATAAAGAGATGGGGATATGTATAACTACTATATAGGGCAATAAATATAGGGTATTAAATATATGAGCAATTAAGGTGACCCTTTAAAATGTGTGTGTGTGGGGGGGATATTTTACATATATAAAGAATAAGGAATCATAATTTAGGGCAGAGTAATAAAAGTAGGGAGATACACATGGACCAGTAAAGGCCAAGATCAATAAATAACCTACCATGTACTATATGGCCAGTTAGTATTGTACATAATTTATCACAGAATATCATCATGTATTTGTCTTAGTTGCTTCTATTCTGCTGGCACCAGTTAGAGGAGTAACATCTGTATATACATTATAGTGAAAGAGAATATCTGTAGTGGATTTTACAAATGGAAAATTTGGGAAATTTTCCCATCTCTAGTAAGCTATCAATGTATTTGGGTGGTGATATAGTCTGTTTTTAATCAGTTTGCATACTGGATTTAAGCTACAGCAAAACAGCATTAATCTAAATCTTGGTGTCAATATGAAGTACATATGGTTCACTTGAAATAGATTCCTTAACTACATCTCAGTATGAATTCAGTGGACTAATTTTAATTTCTAAACATATTTAATGTTTCTGAAGGTAACCTCTCCAGAACTTTTTCCAAGACCCCAGCAGATGGCAGACCACCATTACCAATTCCCAGTAAACCAAATGCAGAATTTCCTAAAGCTGATAATGAAAGAGGGGAACAAATTTATAAGGTATACAAATATCATCAAGAAAAGTTAAATATTGGAACATGTAAGTGATTTATTCAGTAGAAACTCAGACCCAGCTGATCCATATGAAATCAAGGGAGCAGAATATGGACATAAGATAAGGTAAGGTAAGTTGAGATCAAGGAACAGTAAAGTCAACAATAAAGGCCAGCAGGAAGGAATCTACTTTTATTATTTATTATTTAAATAAAATAAAAAGATGCTTTTTAGGACAACTTGTAAAAAGATTTGTCACAAGATCTCCTCTACATAAAGTAGAAGCTTTTTATAATATCTGTGGCCTGCAGAGGTGGGAAGTAGATCTGTAAGAGGGCCCCATTTAAGCCACCCATCAAAATTTGCCCTCTCCTAAAGGCACATGCCCCTCCAGTCACATATTCACTATCATGACTGGTGGTTAGGTTCTTGCCAGCTGTTTAACCAGAAGCAAATAAACCAGATTTAACTAATCATTTTGCTTATCAGACACCAACATGGGGGGAGGAGGAGGAAGACTAAAACACAGGCAATGGGAATCAGCAATGGGGAAAACAAATTCCATGCTAGTATAGATGATAGCAAACCAAAAATAATTGGATAATATTTTAACTTAGTAGTTAGTAGTTAACTTAGCAGATTTGATAAACTACTATAAATTTGATAAATAGGAGTCTCTGATGTTAGAAAAGGAAAAAAGCTAACTCAGCTAAGAATGACTTGTCTAATCATGGACTAGGGATGTGAAAAATAAGTTTGGACTGCACAAGAGAATACACAATCCAAACTCAGATCAAACTAACACTACAACTTTTTAAACTTAAGATTTTTCCCACTGTTTCTACTGCTTACCTCATTCTTTGCTGTTATAATGCTATCTAATTACCTTACAAGGCAAGAAGTATTATAAATTGTATTATGTGCAGGCAGTCCTTGAGTTACAACCACAACTGAGCCCCAAATTTATGTTGCTAAATGAAACATTTGTTAAGCGAGTTTTGCCCCATTTTATGACTTCTCTTGCCACAGTTGTTAAGTGAATCACTGCACTTGTTAAGTTAGTAACCTGGTTGTTCAGTGGATCTGGCTTCCCCATTGACTTTGCTTGTCGGAAGGTCGCAAAAGGGGATCATGTAACCCTGAAATACTGGAACCATCATAAATATGAACCAGTTGCCAAACATCCAGATTTTGATCATGTTACCAACGGGATGCTGCAATGGTTGTAAGTGTGAAAAACAGTCATAAGTCATTTTTTCTTCAGTGACATGAGTTTGAATGGTCGCTAAATGAACTGTTGTAAGTCGAGGACTACCTGTATTACAAAGAAAATATGCAGTACTTCTTTATAGACCCTTAAGCAAGGACAAAGCAGAGCAAAAACAAAGATCTAGCAAAAGCTGGGAAATATGGAAGTTCTTGACTAGATTACATATGGGTACAAAACAAGATTCAGAGATACCGGTTCTCTGAACAAATGGGGCTATCCGGTGTCTTCTGCCTTTGTGAGTGTGATGACAGACAGACAACAACACATATGTATAGCTGTCCTTTGTGTCCTGATTAGTGTATACTTGAGGATCTCATGGCAACGCAATGCAATTAATGTTGCTAGTTTCTGGGCAAGATCTGTTTAGCTTGTACATATTTTAATCTTGTATTTTATATTTTAAATTTTATGCTGTGTAGTATGCCTTATTTTAATCATGATGCTTCTGACATGAATAAAGAAAGAAAGCAAAGATAAAGATGTAGCAGGGAGAGGAAAGATGAAGGAAATATCTCTGGGTAGGGTGAAACGTTCCAAAAGCTAGTTGGAAATTTTATCTTAAGACAGAATTTGGAAAATTGCATGGAAGTGTTATTAAACTAAATACATGCAGGTACAAAATATTTTAGAATGGCATCCAAAAGCCATGCAGGATAAACAAATTTTTTTCAAGAAGATGTAATATAATTTGTTTATCTACATTAAACATAAATATTTAGCAACGTAAGCAAAATCAACTCCCAGTAGTTGAATACTTTTGGGTCTTTAAGTGATCTATATGCTTTCCTAAATACATTTCAAAATTCCACATCCATGTTTATGATCATAAACACATTTTTCCATTTCTTTTTTCATTTGGCTGACTGATCATCAGGGTCAACAACATCAAAAGTGGTATGTTGCTGATATCACCCGGTCAGATGCAGAAGTTGCTCTTAGGAACATAAACCAGGTAAAGATTTCAGTATTATTGTCTGTATGAATCAGTATTTCTCAACCTCAGCAAATTTAAAATATGCGGGTTTCATGCTGGTGGGGCATTCTTGGAACTGCAATCCACACATCTTAAAAGTGGTTGAGATTGAGAAACTCTTGTACATACTGTAAGTATATAAGAAAATGGTTAAATGCTTAAAAATGCAGTGCAAATCTATTTCAGTTATTTATATATTTATTTAATTTTGAAAGCTTTTGTGGTGATATTTTTTCTTAAAAACATTTTAATATGTTACTTTTTTTAGGACGGTGCATTTTTAGTAAGAGACAGCTCCAAAAAATCAATTGAGCAGCCATATGTTCTAATGGTGCTTTACCACAACAAAGTTTACAATATCCAGATACGTTATCAACAAGAGACTCAAGTCTACTTCTTGGGAACTAGCTTGAAAGGAAATGAGGTATGCTGTGGCATCATTCTCTTAATGCCATAATCTTTTCACTATGGAGGCATATTAAATGTAAAACTTTCTAAGTCAGTCAAATTGCTCTTCCCTAGATGTTCTACAACATCTGTATATATTAACTAAGCAGCATCAAATCTATAAAAATAATGATGTTATCCATTTAGGGATGTCCAACTCTTGGCCATTCTATGGGCCAGGTCTTCCAATCTTACACTTTCGATAAAAATATTAGTAACTAAATAAAGATCCATTGGTGTATCCCCGACCAAATAATTCTATAAAATAAAATTATTACGAAGTAGGCAAAATGAAGTTGTTTTAACTTTTTTTCTGTCACGGAAGTAACCGAAAAGTATTTTGCAAATCACACAGGACTTCACTTCAGTGGCTGACATTGTTGATTACTTCAAACGAATGCCCCTTTTGTTGATAGATGGAAAAGACCGATGCTCAAAGAAGCAATGTATGTTAACATATGCTGCTGGTACTCTTTAGAGGAGAGAATGCATGAAGATCAAGTTCAAGCTCCACTTTGTCTTTTCAAGTTAGAGGAGTAATTGATTTGTGTTGGATGAACTGAGATAATTTCTTATTTGTTTTTTTTTATATTACACTATGAATGTTATTGTATTATCTTTCTTCCTCCCTTTTGGTATGAAAGCTATTAAGCACATTCATTTTTCACTGAAAAAAATTGTATGTGTGATATCTGTTGATTGAAATATACTCTGTAGACTGTGTCATATTATTATTGAATATTTTTCTTCAAGATGAAGAAATCTTCTAAACAATAGTTCTGTATATCTTTTCCATATAAAGATTTAGTAACAGATTCATTCAAGAATAACTTAACAGATATTTCCTGATATTATTAAACCCAGCATGCATGCTAATGTTTGTTCTTAGTGAAAACATTTGTTTATTGAGTTTATTGAGTATGATCGCACCGATTAATTGCGGTCAGAAAGAGTCAAAAGGATTTTTTGTGTGTGTGTAGTCATTTTCTGTTTAAACATTTGTTAAAGAACTAATTGTTTCTCTTGCAGTCTTCATTTGTATCTTTCAATCAAAGCTATTGTATATTATGATTTATATCGTATGATAACATACGATATAAATATGTTTTTATTTCTTATTGTTCTTGAAACTATAAAATGTAAATTAATTTCTGAATCAATCACTGAATCTGGGTTTCAGAATGGGTAGATTTCTTGAAAAAATATTTTAGTGACTTAAGCAAACCTTTTAGTCAACAATTGTTCATTATATTTTTCTTGTACAGGACCAGAATATTAACATTTTAAAATTTGATTATAATAGAAAAGTGGTTGGATCTGCCTGCTGTAGTGTAAAGCTTGTATATTCTTACCTTATCCAAAACAACAAGAACATTTGACCATCACACCAAAGCATACTGTGGTGTCAGAAAATCACAAGGAACCATGCTCTTAAGATACAATGTTTGGTGGTATTTTTCTCCACTTTATTCATTTAGATGAAATAAAAATTCATTATTAAATGTGATTAAAATTAATTATGGAATAAAGCAAGTTTGAAGCTTTGTATATTAAACAAAACATGACTAAAACCAATCTCATGACAAGCTATGATTGGGAAAAAAAGGAGTAAAAATTTCTGAGCAAAGGAGTAAGAGAGGGAAGGGAACCCATTATTGCAAGATTTCAGTGGTTTGGTCACGTTGTCCCAAGCAAGAAATAATCTGATATTTCAAATGAATGATTGGTGAGCCCCCTTCACCCCAACAGAAAATATTTTGATGAAATTGATTATATGTTGCTAGTTTGCTTCCCCCCCTCCCCCAGGAAAATAATTATGAAACATTTCCCTGTCAACAGTTGCATTTATATAGATCAATTTTATTTTATACACAATTGTTTTAACAACTAAACATTCCAAGTTAAGAATATAACAAATCAAAATATTTTATAATTCTTATTGAAATAATATAATATTGAATATTTATTAGATTTAAACAAATAAGCAAGAAATGTATACTGATGTTTATATAATCTGAAAATAGGCATGGCTTTTATGTTCAGAAAAAAATATTTTGCTATAATATATGCTGAATCTTTTTCACAATACAAAAATATCTTAAACAGAGGAATCAAGACTTTTTTTAAAAAAAAAATCTCTTTTTTTCTCTTTCTCTCTGCTCTTACACAATACACACTCACTTTCATGTAAAATGTTGGTAAAAAGAATAAGAAAATGCCAAAAGCATCTTTATTTGATGCCAGCTTATATATCAATATTTTAGTAACTCAAGCTTAAAAGACTTTACTTCTGACTTCTGATACTCAATTATAAACATATTCACAGAAATATTTTAAAGGATATTATGATACGAGACCATTAAGAAATCAGTAAAGTTCCCTTTCGCTTAACTATTTTAAATATAAATTTAAAAACTACTAGAGAGATACTAGCAAAAAGGATACTCAGTTTTTATTTTTGAACTCTTCTTGACTCTTTTCCTCATCTTCTCTTGAAACATGTGCTTGAACAGGATGATTGAAGTTCAGAAGAAGATCACAAAGCAGGAGTTCAGTTTTTACTGTAAGGCAACATTTGATTTTCTCTTTAAAACATTGCATGGTTTCTCTGTATTACCTTATGTGTATTTATTGCCCTAAGGCAGTGGTTCTCAACCTGTGGGTCATGTCCCCATTTGGGGTCAAACGACCATTTCACAGGGGTCGCCAAACAACGCAGTCCGCCATTTTTTCCCCCTTTTCCTTAGCTGTGCTACTCCCTTTTATTCTATTGGCTTTTGAAAGCCAATAGAATAGACTCTCTTGAATAGAGTCTAATTCTATTGGCTTTCAAAAGCCAATAGGAATTGTCCAGGCTGTCTCTGCCCTGCTGAGCCCGCCAAAAGTCCCATTCTGCAAACGGTGCTGCACCAGTTGAGTACACCTCGACTTACGACTGTTTGAGTAGTCCTCGACTTACGACCGGTTGGGAGGGGTCGCGGCATTTAAAAGGTTGAGAACCACTGCCCTAAGGCAGTTTGGATAAAAAGGTTGAGAACCACTGCCACAATGCAGTTTGGATAAAAAGGCTAAGAAAGTAAAGCAATGGCTTTCAAGTTTCTATTGTGATCAGGTATGCATGACAATAAAGTATTATATAATACAATATTATAAAAAATATGAAAGCAAGAAGAAATAAAAATTATTTGTTATATCCTGCATTCTATTTTTAACAATTTTCATGAGGAGTAGTCACGCAAGACACCATCACATTCCAACTGTTAAACTCCCAACAGTTAAAGTTGGGAATCTTTAAGAAATAACTGAAGCGGAAGGGAAAGCTAGGGAGAAAATGTGAAATTTGAAAGAAAGTACTTCTGAAAAGCTTTTCTTGAAATGCAGGGGAATATATTGTGAGGAACACTAGGGACAGTCCTCTGTGGGAGTACTACAGAACTTTTTTTAAAAAACCCACAATTAAAATGCATGCTTGCAGATTCCACTCATTTTAAGACTTCCTACTGATTTACACAAACTGAGTACAGTGCATACAGTATTCTTGTAATGTTTTCTGCTGACTTTCTGGAACCACAACCAAGTAGCATTTTTTTTCCTAGACACTGGCGACCTAGATACAAACCCTTGCTCAACCACAGAAACAATTCAGCAATTGAGTAGCTTCTGCCAAATTGGTGTATCTCAGCCTAATCTAGAACCAGAATGCTGTCATAAACTGCATTAAAACTATTTCTCTCTCTGTGTGTATATATCTATGTATGTGTGTTTATATGTGTTCATTCAGTGGTGGGATTCAGCCAGTTCCCACCAGTTCAGCAGAACCGGTAGCTAGTTTTTTGTTGCCCAGGCCCAGAACGGACTTTTGGAAGTGGCATCCACACAGAAAACCGGTTGTTCACATATTTGAATCCCACTACTGTGTTCATTACATAAAAATATTGACTTAGCAAGTTTTAAAAGCACAGTTTCAGCAACAGAACATATAATCTACAGCATCTACTCTCATACATATTATACACACACACACACACACACATTAATATACATTTAAAGCAGGGTTCTCCAAAGTGATTAGTATCAACCCCCAAGACTTGACGGTATTATCCATTATTGCTATTATTATTATTATTATTATTAGTAGTAGTAGTAGTAGAATTAAATTATTTTTTATAATAAATGGTTTAATGAGCTGAAGTGTTTTGGGACTTCCAACGTAAAGTAAGTAAAAATTCATATTCATATCATTCTTCATTTCATATCTTTATTCTGACTGTAGCATTAGAAATTACCAATAAGTGTATTCATTTCAAATGATACTTTTTCCAAAGTTCTGATTGCATTATCAATAACAAGCAAGTGATCCTTCTCATTCATGGACATCTGAAAGAAAATACAAATAAAAATCAGAATGAAGAGCAACAATTTTCTCAAAACTCTTCAAACCATTTTAGTAACTGAAAAGAAAGATAACTATTGTCATTTTTTACTATGGGCACACTGGCACACATTAAAAATGAAATTCTGTTGCCTGCTTTCAAGTGTACACATACATAACATATATAGAAACTTGCTATATACATACATATGTAAATACTTACACCTTTACATATAAATTCATATAAATATTAATCGCTGTCCATCTTGAATACATAGCAGAAAGAGAAAGCTTGAGAATTCACAAGGTTGATACTGTATGGAATAAAACTGTGACTGAATTTGGATGTTCTGCTTTGGATACCATGAAGCCTCCTCCCAGAAGGTAATAAGGAAGTGTAATGGAATTAATTAGGATAAAATGTGAGCTAAGAAACAGTTTATTCTTTAAACTCCAAATAATGGTAGTTTATTTATATCTCACACACATATAATAAAATGCTAATAAAATGATAAGATCTTCAGGGTGGTTAAGTTTGATTCCTGATTATTTTCTAAGCAACAGAATTTAAGAGAAACTGCCTTTGCTTCTTACAGTGTATATTTTTCAACTTCCTAGCCCAGACCACATTTTTTTCAAACTATGTTCTGTAGAATCTTAAGTTTCCATGAAAAACTTGATGGGGTTCTGTGAGAGATTAAGAGCAAAGAAAAAAGAAAGAGAAAGAAATTCACTCCAATGTAGCCAATTTTCTATTAGTCGTGTTCTCTTTAACAGGGATTACAGGATTATAACAACAACAGGTTTCAAAGTTTGGAAATCTTTGTCTAGGCCAGTGATGGTGAACCTTTTAGAGACCGAGTGCCCAAACTGCAACCCAAAACCCACTTATGCATCGTCGGGTGCCGGATGGGTGTGGCCATTGGGTGGGTGTGGCCCATTGGGTGGGCGTGGCTGCGGTGGTAACAGCAGACTGAGTGGGACTAAAAAGTTCAATCAATCAATTCCAACTTTGCGAGATCTTTTTTTTCCTGCAAGAAGTTGAAATTGACTGATTGATTGAACATTTTTTTTTTTTGTACATGGGAGTAGAGGCCTAAAGGAAAGGGGTTTATAAAACCCAGCTGAAGGCCTAGGACTGGGGTGATGGCATGAGTGCCCACAGAGAGGGCTCTGAGTGCCGCCTCTGGCACCCGTGCCATAGGTTCGCCACCATTGGTCTAGGCTACAGCCTTGGGATTCTAATCAAGTATTAAGCAGATTCAGTACTGTTTAGTTCTTTCAAGACTGGTAAAAATCAGCTAACTTCTGCCCCCTAGCACTACAACACAGAATTTGCAAATACAAATAACAAAGTATAAAAATACAACAGGTAAAATTCCCATATTGCTATTTCAGAGAGAAAAGATAAACATGAAGAGATTTTTATTTACAACTGAAAAAACAGTCATATAAGGATTTTTATCTGAATATGGTTTAAATCTTTCTTGCTTGACATAATTTTGTTAAACAAACTGAAATAACCTATTTGTGTGAAAATGGGCTGAAAAATTTAATAGTATCTGCAATCACAACTGAGGTAGTTGAATCAGTAGAACTGACAGTCTCCATATAAAGCACCTATCATGAAAATAGGCAGTTCATTATCTACTTCTTTTACATATATGCAAATAAAATTGTGTCCTATTGTATCTCTCTCCCACTCCCTCCTTCTCTGTATTATATACGTCAAAAACAGCAGCAACTGCTTTAATCACCTTAACCACAAGGGGACGCCATTGGTATTTTAAGATATTAAAGTATATTCATCCCGTTAGCTTTATTTTACTGTACTACATTATGGGAACTCAAAATGTAAATACACTTGTTTTATTAAGAGATGAATCATGTGATAAATAGCAAACACCCTTGTGCATTTTAACCCACAAAAGCTGTTCTTTTGGGTCAGGTCCTGGTTAGAAGAAAAAGCATTCAACTAATTCAATTGTTATAGATATCCTGCAGATTTTTTTCTGTATGAGTCAGGAGTAAACAATAGTGCTAATCTAAAACTATACTAGATATGTTACATGATGAAAAAGTAAAAGCAGTCCGATTTTAAGTTATGTATTAGGTTTTAAGGCTAAATTTCTGTTTGATGCCAGGTTGGGTGGTGAT